TGTGTCTACATTCTCATTAAATTCTAGGAAGTCTTTAATTTCTTTTATTTCTTCAACCCAGGAATGGTGCAATTGGGTGTTATTCATTTTCCACGAATATGTAGGTTTTCTGCAATTCGTATTGCTGTTGAATTCTAGCTTTAATGCATGGTGGTCTGATAAGATACAGGGGGTTATTTCAATTCTTTTGTAACTGTGGAGGTTTGCTTTGCTGCCAACTATGTGGTCAATTTTTGAGAAGGTTCCATGTGGCGCTGAGAAGGAGGTATATTCTTTTGTGTTTGGATGGAATGTTCTATAGATATGTTAAACCCAGTTGGATCATAACTTTTGTCAGATCCTTTGTTTCTTTGTTAAGTTTCTGTCTGGTGGTCCTGTCTAGTGGTGTAAGGGGGGTGTTGAAGTCTCCTATAAGTGTGTGTGGTTTTATGTGTGGTTTGAGCTCTAGTAATGTTTCTTTTACAAATATGGGCGCTTTCGTATTTGGGGCATAGATGTTCAGGATTGAGACTTCATCTTGATGGGCTTTTCCTGTGATGAGTATGAAATGCCCTTCATCTCTTTTGATTGATTTTAGTTTAAAGTCTAATTTGTTAGATATTAGGATTGCTACTTGAGCCCATTTGATTGGAAATTTTTTTCCCATCCTTTTACTCTGAGGTATCGCCTGTCTTTGAAATTGAGGTTTCTTGTAAACAGCAGAAGGATGGATTCTGGCAAGACATGTTTCTTATGTCATTGTTTCGTCTTCCCCTCACATTGTCCCAGTGAAGTTCTCTGAAATCAGTCTTACCTTTAGCAGCCTTCACTACTCATTGAGTCTAGCACTATCCTCACTGTGGCAAGGACTAAGGACTAAGGTCCATGTGTTAGAAGGTAGCTTACAGTGTAAGGTAGGGTACTTTCCCAGCATGTGGGAGGCCCTGAGTTGGATCTCTAGGAGCAGAAAGGAAGGAGAGAAGAGAGGGCAGAAGGGAGAAAGTTAAGGAGGGAGGGAAGGGAGAACAGATAGGAAGGAGGAGGGGGTGGAAAGGACTTTGAACTATGGTTGAAACACCAATCATTCCCACCGTTCATGACATCCCTTCCTTTCTTCCTGCCATTCTTTTCCTATTGTTAGGCAATTTTCGGTCTAGATTTAGTTTTCTTTCTCTAGAGAGTGTTGCATCTTTACTTGATAGACAGCTGTGTTAATTGATGATCACCTGGAGTCTTATCTTATTTTCAAGCTTTGGTAGAGTTATATTGTCTCTCTTTGTAGAGGGAGTTTAGACCTACAGAGGCAAGACTCAGAGCCCAACTTATGTGTGGCCTTCTCTCTCTCTCTCTCTCTCTCTCTCTCTCTCTCTCTCTCTCTCTCTCTCTCTCTCTCTCTCTCTCTCTCTCTCCTCTCTCTCTCTCTCTCTGGTTTTTTTGAGATAGGGTTTCTCTGTGCAGCTTTGGAGCCTCTCCTGGTACTCGCTCTGGACACCAGGCTGGCCTGGAACACACAGAGATCCTCCTGCCTCTGCCTCCCGAGTGCTGGAAGGCCTTTTCTCTTTAGCTAATGAAAATTCCAATATCTGAGCTCTGTATAAGCTCTGGGCATCTGGCATTATGACCAACATGGATCAGGCTTCATCTTGAACTAGTAATCTGCCATGAAGAGAGGATCTAAGTGTGAAGCAGCCTGCCTCGTCAGATGTAATAGCTTACCATTGTGTGTGTTCTGCTGACCACGTTTTCGTTTTTATTAAAATCAAATATTCAACGATTAGCATCACCCAAGTCGTGCCACCACCTTTATTTGTTTACGAGACAGACCAGAAGATGATACTGGCCCATTACCCTTGACCTAGCCAACCCTCGACAGAAGACTTAATGATGCTATTTGGGATGCATTTCCTTGCTGCTTGGCACAGGTGGCTTTCTCATTGTTGCATAGACGGTGATGGGAACATCAGTTATTGTCAGGCAATGACTTCCAGGGCATCTTCGGAGTTGCCTGAGTGAAAGGGCAAATGATATGTAGTTAGAAAATAAATGGGGGGTTCTTTTCTTTTTTTTTTTTTTTTTGACTCTAACATTTTTTCATTGTTACAAAACTATAACTTCACATGTCAATCCCATCTCCCTTTCCCCCTTCCCCCAGCTCCCCACTAGCCCCCCCTCACCCTCACCCCTCTGCTCCCCATAGAAAGCAGCTCCCTCTATGGGATCTACCCAAATTCCACAATATCATCCTCACCTGGCCTATGCCCTCCCCCAGGTGTTATTTTCAAAGCAAAAAAAAAAAAAAACTTTTCAACTGTTTCAAATCTCTCTGAGGCCTCCAAATATCACAAAAATTGATAACACAGGTCCTAATGAGATTCTATACTTATATAGCAAAGAAAGCATTCCTATTGCCATATATTTAATTATGGGAAATTCATAAAAATGAAATTAATGCTCAGTTGTTCATTTTCAAGAGTATGCAGTAATTACTAAATGGCAAAAAATGTGTAAGTGGTTATAGTATGGAAATTAATTCAGACATGAACCTTCAATCACTTTGGCTGAGTAATTTCAAAACTAGGACATTTGTGGGGTGAAAGGTAGCAGACTAATGTTCAAATGTTGATGGAATCTCAGAGTTAAAATAACCCTTAAATGACACAAGTCCAAAATGCATCTAGTGACCAAGCAACTGTTCTGACACTTCCACCAAATAATCAATCTTGGATATTTTCACCAATTTTATCCATAAGTAACTCTAGCTCTTAAAGTATTGACCTTACTATGTTTAACTCTGTGATCCCAAAACTCAAATCCATTAAGAGAATTAGCAGTGTATTATTTGCAGTGCCGCTATGGTAAACAGCAGAAGAGTGAGACAAACCCTATTTATAACAGTTTGCTTCCATTTGTAAAAGTGATTTCTCTCACAGTACTTTCACACTCTACTGTTATAGAGTTATATAGTCTGACCAATGGTCTGACCCAAGTGACACTAAATCTGAAGTCTCTAGCTCTTTTTACATTTTTAGTCTTGTACCTAGAACAATACCCTACACATAGTTACACTGGCCGTTTGATGTTGATCTTGAGAATATAGATACAATCTAGATAAAAGTTTATGGAGGTGGGGGAAGGATTGGTCTAGACTTATAAAGTTACAAAATATAGACTGTTAAATCTGGGCCCTGTTACTAATTTAATGACAGCGGTGTTTGAATTCCAGGGTTTAATTTTTCTTGCTAATATTAAATGTCAGTTAGAGCTCATATTGATGATAGCCAATACCCATAACCTCAGTTGTCAAGATGAGTGAACTTCACCTATTGGGTGACGTCTCTTTCCCATTACAGGCAGCACTGGAGCTCAGGCCTGATTCTAGCCCAATCGAAGAATCTCCTCCTTCCACTGGAAACCTCCTTGGCTGGGTCCCAAACCGAAAAGGCATAATTCACTGAAATCCTGGGGTACAAAGTTAAAATAAAGATGGCGTTTATCTTCCAAGATAAGTTGACATTTTAATGTTATAGTTTTGTTACATGTGTACAAAAAAGTTCAGAAGGTAACACCTGAAAAAAATCTGTAAAATACTTTATTATACAAATATCCTTTATAAACAATTTAAAGTCTTATAACAAATTCAAAATAACTCCAAGTAGTATAAGCAAACTATGCCAACTTTGTGGTTAGCCTGTGTTAACAGTGGTATCTCTATTGTGGGGCAAGAAAAGATCAAATGGCCTTCCCATGATATTGAAATCAGCAAGCTTGAGTCTTCATTCTTTATCCTTCTATGCCTCTCCACTACTGTAAGCTTTCTTTGAGTAGAATTTCATGCCTGTCCAGACACCTTTAGATAATCCTCTTGTTCCTGTAACCATTTAGTCCACCCAATCTATGTTACAGTGTGTTAGTTAAGCAATTGGCCTTGGGAGAGCTGGGTTGACAAGATAACATTACAATGAGTCATCCCAACATCGTGATCTTAGTGAAAACACTTGTCTATATTACCAAGGGTAATGATAATATCTGACACATAGTAAGGGCTCAATCAGTGATAACTATTATTATTTAGTGGATGCCAAGCATTAGTAAACACATGGGTAAATGGGAGACATTAAGTATATACATACACATATACAGATAAATTATTACCTTTTATGTCCTGTGCCTGGAACTCTCAACCTCCCACTACTCCCACCTTTCACTTGCTAGAGTGGATTCACTGGCTAAGTTTGAATTTACATTTCCCTTTCTTAGAGAAAGAACTCTTCCATAACCCTTATTGCTAGGTCTTTATAGAACTCTCTCTTTTTCTTTTGTAACAGTTAGTTTTCTAATTCAGGATTTCTCAACCAGGATGTTGTGGACACTTGAGATCTCATGATTCTAAACTGGAGAATGTTAGATTGTCATAGGCATTGGAAAATGTTCTTCAGTATTCACCCACTAAATGTCAACAACAACCTTCTCCCAGTGTTTTGACAGTTTGAAAAAGAAAGGAAGGAGGGAGGGAGGGAAGGAGGGAAGGAGGGAAGGAGAGAGAGAGAGAGAGGAGAGAGGAGAGACACAGAGACAGGTAGAGAAGGAGATAGAGATAGAGATAGAGATAGAGATAGAGATAGAGATAGAGATAGAGATACTGGGGGGGGGAGAGAGAGAGAGAAAGAAAGAGAGAGAGAGA